TTGCAGTTGATTCAAAGTATCTTTTGTAAATATCCACTTTATATTCTTATGCGACTGATGAAATTACCATCATCTGATATGATAGCAGCTACAGCAAACGCATTTCTTTTGGTACCTAATCGTACATAATAATATGTATTTTTAAAGTACATGTTCTGCAGTTTAGCTGAATATCTACTTCTGTATCTGTCATGATAATCCTACACCTACATACATGTAATTTCAAAGCTTAAAAATAACTGACAACTGTACTTCCTGTGCTGTTTGACTGTACCTTTATAAAAACACAGGTTCAGCTCAACTTGTGACTTCAGCTGCTATATCTTAAACATACACTCAGGGGGAAATTGAGACATTTCTTCAGGTCATATTCCCAATACTTGACAGATGTAGGGACTGGTAAAGCAATGTTATTCTGTTTAGCCATTTTTTCTGTGCAAAAGTGACTGGTTGTTTAAATGTGAGAATGCTGGTACAGTTGTCAATAAAGTCCACTCAGAGCCTTATGGGATTGAGGAATAACAATGATCAAAATGACATGACAAATTCAGATCCTTGTTAGTTTGATTGTTTCTCATAAATGTTGGTAAAAATATATATTTTTATTAACAAATTTAATGCCAATTTCAACTGTAGGCACAGTTCATGTAGTTCTAAGAAAGGTCTGTGGGTCTTGTGGTAAACTCAGACTTTTGCATGTTATTTAAAGTCACTAAATGTACTTTCAGAAAATAGTCTGTGATTTTTAAAAATTGTTTATTTGTATGAAATAATATTGCTGACTCAGTTGAATCTGTGTTCTTTTTTTCAAAGTCAGATTTTCTCCACAACTGACACACAAAACGCGCAGAAGGACACACAAGCAGGAAGCGTATATCTGCTTTAGCACAGTGGAAATGGGCGATTAGAGCCTTCTGCAGACCTGACAGTGCTGCTCATCTGCAGCGACCTGATAAGCCCTGAAGAAACTGACTTTTGCAGCTGGAGAGAGTAGAATTTTTTTTTTCCCAAATACTGCCACAATTGGGACAAAATATCAGTGAAATTTACCTGGCTGTTACTTTGGCTATAGATGACGCTCCACATGAAGTATCTCTCCGTCATTAAAAGCCCTCACTGCTGGCACAATTACGCCAGACTATATCAGACTTACCTTTAGCCTTAAGGTGAGGCTGAATCTGCCTATTTTGAAAGGTCAGTGGCCTGGCACGGCGAAGCAGAAGAAATCGAATCCCGCAGGCTACTTTGAAACCCCCTTGGCGCTCACTCTCATTTGTTCTGGAGGCCAGCAAATCAGTGGCTTGTTATGGCCTTAACCTCATGAACTGCAAGCAGGGCAAATGAGGTGGGCAGGTCGGACTGTTGTCATGTTGCAGCATCAGGCAGTTGATAAATTTGATAGACTTCAACCTCCTGAATCTTTGTTCACAAATTTTCTTCTCTACACAGAATGTGCAACACTCTCTCTGTTGAAGTTTGATTTTCTGTGTTGAATATCATCTGGCGAGTCTTTTTGATTCAGTAATTGTGGATGAGTTATATGACTGAGAGCAAGACATCCATATTTGCATCGACATCTAAAAAATTTTGGTTCCTCATCATCACATTATTTTCATTACCTGCTTATAACACTGACTTATGTTTGATGTTGATGAAAATTAAACAAACAAACAAAAAACACCATAGATGTGATATCTTCACAGAAAGAATAACTGATGAATCTGTAACGAGGCACTGGGAATAAAATATTTGCTTTTGATTGGATGTACTCTCAGCATAAGTGATATGTTCACAGTAATATGTGAGGAATTATAACTCAGGCAAATGCAGCCGACTGAATGGTGTGGCCAGTGTCGGGTGATGGATGATGAGGAAAATGCTTTGGGATGGCAGACACCTCTCTCATTAATCTGCAGAACAGCACTGTCTGCCTCTGTTTGCATAGCAACACAGACTCCACATTATTCATTTAGCTGCTGCCTATTATCAGTTTGTTGATGAAAGGATTCTCCTTTGAAAGATTTGGAGGATGCTTTTGGCTTTTCCTCTGAAACTCCTGCGAGCTGATGTGTCAGTTCTGGACAGAAGAGGCAGATAATTGCTGCTCTCGCTACATTTCATACGAGATGAGAGTGCACCCTGAACGAGAATCTGCACAGCTCCTCAGAAGAATCTAAATTTGTTTCAGGTTTGCACCTCATTTTGGGCATACTATGATTTAGAGCCTGGAAACATTGAGGAAAAACTGAGTTCACTTCGATCAATTTTAACTTTTAGTTCTACCTTCTTTGTCCAGCAGCTGTAGATTAGATCTAATTTATTTCAAATTAAGCTCTTAGGCTTAAAATTGTGCGAAAATACTGATGCTGTATTTAACAATGGTGATTCAGAGTAGCTGATTGAGCCTTTGCAGTCATCATTCACATTGTTAAAGTGGGAATTTAATTTACAGTCAGCAAGCTGGGAAAGGTACCTCTGTTAATCAGCCCACTGCAGCCTCGCTAACTGAGTAAGTAAATGCTGACTTCTTATACTTGCAATACTCGATGGAGTGCAACTTGCAAGAACAGATGATACTCTCAATAAGATCTTAACAGCAATTACTAAGTTTTACATTACTGAGAGGTTTTGGTCTTTTGGTCTAGATTCATACTACAAATGGATCAGCTTCACATTCATGATGCAAATGTGGCATTCCATCACATCTCCAATGTGCATGTGGAATTGAGATGTGGTGACATTGGAGGCTGTTGGAGGACAGTGATCTAGAGGTCAGGTTCCAGAAACCAATTTGAGATGATTTCAGCTTTTGAGTGATGCTTTGTGCCACTCAAAGATGGGAACACCAGGAATATGAGAAGATGGACATAGTCAGCAACAATACGGTACAAAGTGTGCGGAGAAAACAATCTTTCACTCTATTACACTTTCACCACCACAGTCTGAACAATTTACAGAAGGCAGATTCTGAATCTACTGTCTAAATGTTGAAACTGAGATCAGGACCTGAGACACTTCCAATGTGTTACTGTCCAATTTAAGTAAACCTGTTTGAATTATAGCCTTAGTTCCCTGTTGTTTGTTAACAAGAGAGGTGCCTAGTGTGGTCTTCAGCTACTGTCACCTGCATGCTTCAAGGTTCACCAAGTTTCTATGTATTGGGTTGTAACAAAAAGTTATTTGCCTCTGTTGCTTTTGAACTAACTTGAAGCAGTCAGCCTATTCTGTAACCTCTGACATCAATAAGGCCTTCACACTACTGCTGCTGCTCTCTGGATATTTTCTGTTTTCCAGACTATTGTCTATAAATCCATGGTTCTTTGAGCACTTGATAAGCTGCGGATCTACTAGGATTTTCATAAACACATCTGTCTGGCTTTAAGTAAAATTAATTGGACCTCGTTTTTTATTTTAGTTGTAAAGGTTGTGAGAATCTGACACCTGATTGAAATGTTTTACTATTGTAGCTCAAGCAAATCTTAAACCTCTGGCACTATAAAAAGGTAAGTAGCTCTCATGTTGTCCAGAGACCAATACTTTTTCTAAGACAACATCTAGACTAATACTTTGGACAATAATTTATACCAAAGTCTGTAGTCTAATCATGCTGTTCTTCTAATATCGGCTCTGGAATCGAACTGGAAAACCCAGTCAGACTGGCTCATGTGACATTTAATATCTTTATGTTCAACACATCAAACAACATGAGTCATCGTTTTGCCAGTGTCATACCCAAGCCCAATGACAATTTCAAGCTCCAAATGACAACCGCAAACTTTTGGACTGTTTGAAAAAAGCGTTACCTTAAAGCTATTTTGAATAAATAACTCTTAAACCAATTTTTTTTTTGTTGTTTTTTTTACGTTGGATCATATTTTGGCTTATGTCAAAAACTTCATGCTGTTGTACAGATTCTAATTTTGTGGATGATTGTACCTCCATCACAGACTTACACCGATGGAGACCTAAGAATGCAGATCAAACATCAAGAGACAAATTTGTCTTAATAAAACTGAATTAGCTTTCTGTGTTGTCTTATAGACACGAGTCTCAGTGAAAAGAAGCAAGAAAACTTGCTGGGAAAACTGGGGCAACACATTCTTGTCAAACTAAACTATCTGAAATCAAACTGAGATAAGATCTATTTGTGGAGCCCCTGCTGGTGTCCTCAGGCAGATTCCAATGTTTTTTCTCTAAAGAATCAGCAGGATTTTTTACATATAAAACACTAATGAAACCGTGAGCATGGATTTAAAAAACCTAATGACTTTGATAACAGCTTCTTTTATACATTTTATATAAACAGTAAATTTCCCCAAATAATTAAGCAAAGTTGTTGCTGTTTTCTTCGCGTTTTTGTAGCTCTTATCACTTCTCAGTTTCTGCTTTCAGGTTTTTTGCTCTTCATCCTTACAGCATTTTTTGATGAAGCCTCCACAGGATCTCAGCAGGATTGAGATTAGAAAATTATGTTAGTCAACATCATTTGTCAGATGAGCCTACTTGTCTTTAAGGAACATGAGGTGTTAGGTTTTCTGTGGCACAAATGTATTTGACATAGTTAGTTTTTCTTCTTCATCAGTAGTTGATCATGTTTGTATACAACATTGTCTCTCACAGCTCAGATTATTACTCTCTCACCTGCATAATGATGATACAATGTTGCCTGTGATTTATGTCATTACATACATTTACACAAGCACAAAGATATTATTTTAAAAATATTTCAATTGTATTCCACTTTACATTTACACTCCACTATAGAGGCTGGATCTTAAGGTCCAGACAGTTGACTTTTAACGCGACAGGAATTTAAAAATGATTAATCTCTCATTTTCACAAAAGTGGCCTGACATTGGATTTGCGGCATTTCAAGTGTCTCCTGCTGCTTAAGAACAAACAATTTTTATTCGCTTCAACTTTAAATTTGAGGTTCATCAGAGTGTTAAAGGCTGGTATCACACACGTACAGTGATTACTTTGCCGTTTGTTTCCTGCAGGATGTCCAGCTGACCCTAGCAGGAAGAGAGCAGCGGACGGGATATCATCTTACTCTCACATCATCAGGCCTCGTGAAGTCACCACCGGCTTTAAAGGAGGAAGCCTGTCAACCCGAAACATCCTTCAACTTAACGGTCAGCACATTAAGCTTAGTATGTTTTAATGCCCCAACAAATTAGTTGCTGCCACTGGGGTACAAATGTTTAAAACGTCTTACAATGGATCATTTGGTTGCAGTAGCTTAATTTCAAGCTGTATTATTTTGAAAAATACAACCTAATAACATGTGATGACAGCATAAAGGAAGACATCTGTGACCATTCCTCTTTGCACTATCTCTCGGGATGGATTTAGTTCCTCTGTGTGCTTTGTTTTCTATGTCTCGCTCCTCATATTTTATATAATTGAATCAGGATTATTTTTTGGTCCATGTTTGTGCCGATTTTTCTGCTGAAAGACCAAATCAGCACTCATATTCAGGTTACTGGTAGAAGCAACTCAATTTCTCTTGCGAAATGACCCAATATTTTAAAGCATTCATAAAGTGATGCACGCTGACAATGTTGACAAGGTCATCTGGATGAAAATCAGGCCCACAGCATCACAAACCCTCCACCTTACTTAAGTCGGCATGACATACTTTTCATGCCGACTTAAGTATGTTGTGAAAAAACTAAGCATTAATCTGGTTTGACCAAAAAAAAAAAATGACGACAAGTGAAGTTACAATAGAGTTTATAGGAGTCATTAAATATTTTAATGGTGGGACAGGAAAGTGTTTTGTTGTTTCTTACATGACTCCCAAATATTGCTTACAATGCAGAAAAAAGTCCAATAGTTTAAAACCATGTCATCCTGTATTGCATCATTGGTCACTCAGGAAAGGTTTCTACAAATTCTGATCACCTTTAAAATATAGAAAGTGCAATTGAAAACATTTTCAGTAACATTTAGAGGCAATTCTGTCCCCTGTTCTTTTCTATTAATTTTATTAACAATAATCAGTTTGAATGTAGGACTTTTTCAGTTTTCAATGTAAAATTATGCTATTGCAGTAACAAGTGCATTTATTCCTAAACTTTTCCAAGAGTACTAACAATTTTGCTTACCTCAGAGTCAGGTTATTGCACATTGTATTTTCTCCACTCAGCTATCAGTGTGTGTCTGAGCCCTTGTTTGAGTGGAGCCTCTGCCACAGAGGAATTAGCGTCTTTTATTTGGGCGTTGACCGCGCCGCCACTGCGCTGATCGGCTCAGTCAGATGCATTTCACATTCTTTCTATTGGCTGCACCAGTGAACCACTCAATTTTCAGGCTAATTGAGCTTGCACAGGCATCTCTAGTGGTTAGCCACAATCCTGTTTGTGTTTTTTTTTTTTTTTACTGTGTGTGTCTGTGTGTGCAAGCATAGCCTTAGCAAAGGCACACAAACACTCAGGGGGAAACCAATTTTTCCCTCAATTAAGCGAGACATCATCAGTCAACTGGCTTGCTATTGGTAAATTTGCCTCAAATTTTAACTATTTCTGAAACACACACACTCACAGAGTCAGAGGTTTCACATAAGACATATAAAACAAGCATATAATTGCACAGTGTGATGCAAAATGCATCTGACAGGTATAGAATTGCAAACTGGCCTGCAGAAATGATGTGTCATTTCACAAGTATTTTAGCTTTATTCACTGTGACCAAAGCACTGATAAACAGTTATGCTGCTAAAAAGTTTGATGTGGCTCAGATTCTGTGAATAAAAACGGTTTTTCCAAATTGGTTCTTGGGCAGGTTCGCCTCACAATTGCTCTACACGCTGTGGCAATCAGTTACTCACACCTCTTGTTGCTATGCAAACACAGGCTGTTCACTATTTGCTCTGTTTCTTACATGTCTTCCCCACCACAGCGTACCCACGTATTGTCTCTCTTACATTTTCTCCTTCCTTCACTTTGGTGTGCCAGTTAAGAATACAGTGTGCCTAATTGCTTTCACTGGAGTCCAGTCACAGCAGCAAGACGGAGTGAGCAGAGCAGCTACACACCATAGGGTGGTGTACGTGTGTGTGTGTTTGTGTCACTCTGCTGCCCCACTTCTTCCTGCCGGTGGCTGTGAAGGATAGCCAGACACTATCAGGTTAGCCCACTGGCTCCCAGCCTGATACGGCTTTGATAATGAGACTTGGAAAAATGTCTAAGGATAAGGAGTCATACAAGTAGGGGGAGAAAAAGAGAAAAGAATAGCAGACATCAAAGAGTTTGGCTTGGAAGCTCACAACCTAGAAATATTCTTCACAGCGAAAGTTTTGTAATACCCCAAATTTATCCAGTATTAATTAAGTCCAATAAAAAAGATTAGCAATGTTTGTTTATTGGTTTTAAAATGTTCCATCCATTCTTCCAGTTTGTATCCCAACTTTGTTCTGTTTGAAATCATGTTGGTCTTGACTACACCCTGGATATGCAGTCATCTATTACTTGGTAAACTCTGTTTTCTGACTTGTGAGGGCAGTTTGGCAAAAACAACCAAAACAACAACAACCATGAAAAGCGTCTGAGGTGAGGGAGCAAGCTGGGATACCCAAAGAAAACCTCTGCACAAGTGAATGAAAACCTTATATAAACAGGCTGAAACAAGCTTGGAAACTTGAATACTTGAGAAAAAGCTGCTGCTTAAAGAAATATAACCTTCTTAGAGTGGGGTTCTGCAAGAAGACTACAAGTATTCAAAAATCCTACCTCTGGGGAACTTGCAGATCAGATATGAGTCAGATATGTCGCAATGAGAAATGGCTCTTATATAAATTAATCTTGTACTTCTGACAAAACACTACATTTCCTAGAAATCTACAAAAATTAAAAACAGCTAGACTCCTTTTGTGGAAGAATTACTGATATGTTTGTTTTGCTGTGACTGTTCATGTTCAAAGTGTTCCTTCAACTAGGCAAACACAAAACCTTTTCTGCTGCTAATTTTCTTCTTGTTAATTCATTTGGTTATCATAAATACTTATAGTTTGGTTAAACTAATCTATTCAGCATTTTACATAGTACAATATTGTGAAAGTTAACTTTAGAAGTCTTTTGCAAAATGGCAGATATGTAAAAAGAAAAAAGGCTCAAAGAAAGGATTCAAGCAAGTGACTTCAGTTTGTTAGTTGTATGTGGTGGAGCAGAAACTTCTGATCAGCTACAAGCAAAGTATGTAACATTAAAAAAATCCACTCCTAATGCACAAAATAATAGCAAATGCAGAAGCATTAAAAACTTTGTTCTATCTCTTGTACAAAACCAGACAGACCTGGGTTAATGCACAAGAAATGTAGATTCTCTGCAAGCTTGGTAATAGGGGGAGATCGTTTTTTTTTAAATCAACACTGCAGTTTAAGCTTTGTTTAAATACATTAATAATTTTGTGACTGGTCCACTTGACTAAATTAAAATAATTGATAACTACATAATCACTGGGGCAAAAGAAGACATCAGAGAATATTTTCACTTGAAAATTTGGAGATTATGGTCAAACTTTTTATTTCCGTTTTTATCTTTGTTTTTGTTTGTGTTCTTGTTATTTTTCTTCTAAAGTGTCATTTGGATGTGTTGAAAGGTGCTAACAAGAAAAATGCATCATAACGTGAGGAGAACAGATTCATCACATCGGCCTGTTTTTACTTGGCAGCAAGGAACACGGTGCACGAACACAGGCTGGATGGAGATCCGGTGCTGTTGAACAGAAACAGAATCGGTGCTCGGGACATCATCCCTGACGTACAAAACCTGAACACCGACAGCAGGCGGCGAAAGCTGGACTGCATGGCTGCAGTGCATCGACTAGAGGCTAAAGAGAACCCAAAAGCAGCTGATGTTATGGTAATGTCAGGCTTAGTGCTTATTCTGCTGGAATCTGTTAAATTGGAATACCTAGTTTTTACCTAGTTTTTATTCCAAACACTTGACACAGATGGAGAGTCTGCAGCAGTAAGGCTGCCTGCTAGGTTTGCAAAACATTCATCCAAACTGTACTGGGTTGTGAAGAAAGAATGCAATCAGTGGAGAAGCAGCGAAGTGTTAAAATATGTCTTGAAATAATCTCCGAAAGGTCATGGAGAAAATTATTGATTTAGTGCAACCTGAGCTGTACTGGTTGTACATTGGCCAGTGCTTCTACCACTAGTGATGACATTTTGCTCCACAAAGTCATTAAGTGAACACTCTGCTCTGAGAGTGTTAGAGCTATGAGCTGTTGCACAAGAACACGGCACAGACGGTCAAAACTGATCACAATACTGCTCTGGAAACTGTCATAGCAGTTCTCAGAGAACATTTTGGATGAAGACCGTGTATAACATAATGCCACTATAAAACATTTATCAGTCCTTTGGTGGTGTTTTTCTGGTGTCAGGGTTTAAATCCAGCAACTCGGTTGATCAGAGACCATCAACCCAGCGACGAGTACAGCAAGGCAGAGGGAATTGCGAACATGCTGAGCCAGGCCATCACCACACAGCACCTTCTCTATGCCAGCCTGGGCTCTGCTGAATACATGGAGTTTGTCCTGAAGAATCCCTTTAACGTGCCTCAGACCGTCACCATTCACAGCGACGACTCTGAGCTCAGGTGAGACTCTACCTTTATCTGCACCTTTATTAGGTTATTTTTGAGAAACCTAATCTTGCTTCAGAAAAAATAAAAGCAGAGGTTTTCTTAAAGAAATTAAAACATTTTATGGCCACAGCGTGATACTTCTAGACAGCTGTTAACACATAACTTTATGTGCTTAAATATTTACACTGCATCCAGAAAGTACTTCAAGTGCTTTGTTTTTACACATTTTATGTTACAGTTTTGCACACACATGAAACATCATTGGGGATCTTGCCGTCTTTGTAGTTCAATGCCACCAGGAAGCCTAAGAGATCAGTTTTGTTGTTGTTTCACCTTTTTTCGTACATAGAGACATCTTTTTTTATGTTTCAATGTGCTCTTGTTCATAACAAGAAAACTGTTGAACTTATCCTCACAGATATATTTTAGTAAACGGATGACGGATTAATCCATGTGTGCATTGTCTTTACCCACCTGAATTTCCAAGTTGTTTTTAACTTGTTTACTGACATGTCGAGCCACTTTTGTCATAGTCGCACGCAACTTTTATTTGTTGCTCCCAAGTCTTCTTAATTCATTAATTTGTAAATGTGGTGCTATGCTTGCTTAGTATGTGTTACCTCTTTTAAACTGGAAGGATGTTGTAAATTTATCGGTGGCTCTCCAATCTAACACACTAGGTGCGAACATGTGTTTTTTGTGCCGTATGTGTTTTCTGTTGTTAGATCGTAACAAGCCATGCTCCTACGTTAAGCTGTGTTCACACTTTGTGAATGTGTTTCCATTTGTGATGTTAAAGCTCATGAGCCTATTTGTGCTCTGTGTTGTGGAATAATGTATCCTCACACCTCGCACATTCCAGTGTTACAGACTGAGAAGTTGGCTCTTAATTGACAACTAAACATTTCAACCATTTTTTAAATTTCACTACTCTTATTATGCTACAAGTTAATACCATAGGGCAGCTAAACCTTGTGTAGATAAGGTAGACCCTTTACAAGTCAAAGAGGTCCAACTCATATCAATTTATATATAATCCCCTTCAGTCCAGAAACAGTTTAAATCTAACCAGAAAAAGGCACAGAGACAATGAGCCACTCTGTCTGTAATAGAGACAGTGAAAAAATGCATAAATGTACATAGTTTTGAAAGCAGATTTGCAGTTTCTTCAATGAACAGTTGCAGTCATACTCAAACGTCATAGCAAAATTATAAACACTTTCCACTTTCTCCAGAATAAAACCTTTCTACTGTTTGTGAGGTAATGTTTTGGAACCAACAGCGACCCACAATCAACACTTATACGATGATTACAGCTTTCATTTATTACTCAGCGTGGCATTAAAAGTGGTACTTTTCGGTTGTGTCGTCTGTTCTTCTGTCCTCATCCATTTCAATTGATACATTTTCTGGCCCGTTTTGTGTTTTCACATTCAGTGATGATGATTTTGGATTTAAAATTGAACACCTGTAGGATTCCAGTTATTTGGGACTCTCAAGAGATTTCTTTTTTCCTTAAACTTCAGGTGTACATGCTAAAGAACGTACATCTTTGCACCAGTGCACGTTCTTTTTGGTTTGTTTTTACTTTGTGCCTCTGGGCCGTACTTGTCATGAAGCTATGAACTGTGGGCAATTCCCTGAGGCAAAGTCTGCTGAAACGCAGACTCTCTGAAAATGTTACACCAGGGCTCAAAACGTCTCGGAGAGAGTCCCGATGCAGCTGATGATTTGACAGTGGGTCCTCACAGTATAAGCTGGAACCAGCTTCATAGTTTCCATGTCTCTATTTGGACATGAGCATCACAAAAAAATATGCATGCATATTTATTTGGACTATTCTTGAACAGTCCAAATAGAGGCTGATTATTTGGAGGTAAATTTCACATGTTTACATCAACAGTGATAAAGGAGATAATTTCAGTTTACAAGAATGTTTCTACATGGCACTACGCGTCAATGTTTTGCTCATTATTCACACTTGATGGGCTCTCAGACAATGAAGATTCTTTCGCCTTCAGAAACAAACATGTCCTTGACACAGATGTATCTGTAATCCTGGCAATATGCCAAATAACCCTTTAATCCAAACACAGCAGCCATTATTCCTGATGTTTGTGCTTGATTCTTTCCCTGTCTCCATGCCGTGCCTGTTTCTTTTCATTTAGCGTCATTGTTAATCCCCGCCTTCACAGAGTCTTTTGTTTTGGAGTCCGATCATGCCTGAGCTTTGGATTAACATATATCAGGTTGATCAACAAAGGCAGCAGCACACCATGGATAAATCATTATGGCATTAGCCCGGCCACTGGGCCTCCTCTAATTGAGAGTCATCAATCCCACTATCTGTCCTCTTACTGGCTTAGCACCCTCTTTGTTTATTTATTTCAGTGTGACAATTTGTACCAAATGCTTTCACCTTTACCAAGTGCTGGGATGTGTGAATGAAGAACAAAAGGTTTGCATTATTGGACATGTGTCTTTTGCAGTGTCTGGGTCTTATTAGTGAGACTTGTAGTTCCCTGAGTGCATTGTATATTTTATAACCTTATGATATTTACTTTACATTAGCAACTGTCCCACATGCTGAGCTTCAATGTGTCTTGGGTTATGCTACCCTAGAAGAGATTAAAGACAGGAATTCAAATAATAATTTTATTTAATGCTGTTTTGAGACTTGATAAAACTTGGAATGTTTTAGTTATGAATTTATTAGTTTTTTTTCACCCTGTCAAATAAAAAAAAATTGGAAAGATTTTAGTTTTAGTAACTCACTTGACTTTGAGTTGTGCAATAAACCCTAAATTGAAGAAGTTATTCACAAACTTTTAACCATCAGAAAAAACTATTTTCTACTTGTTAAAACCTTATGCAGATACGTTGAATAATTCAGACACAATCACTGACAAAAGTACCTTGAAATTGTGAGCAGATTAGGACACATAGCCATAGGTTACAGATAGTTATGGACCAGTTACTGTTACAGATTATTATAATGTTAATAAAATTGTGTAAAAAGTGACCCTCTCATTGTGTTACCTGACTGCAACTTCCTGATAGTACTATTAAAACCTTGTTTCTTGTCCGTCTGTATTAATTCACATTAGTCAAGTCATCAGTCAGAAAATGCGTCATGAAGAAGAAAAAAATATGTACAAAGGCATTGGACTTCAAGCTGCAGGACCAGCCAAACGATGGAAAAAAATGTGCAACTCATTGACCATAAAATGCTGTAATCGCTGACAGTTCTGTTACCACAGGTTTATCTGCTGATCATTTTAAAATATGTATCAATTTTGAAAATATTTTGGATAATCTTTGCAACATCCAAGACTAATTTAGAAAAAAAAATCCAGTTTAAAAGTACAAATGAGTTAAGATTCACAATAATGTTAAGATTCACAATAATTCTCAATATTTAACCCTCCTGTGGTCTTAGCGCAACGCTCAGTAGAAGCACAGCAAATGTCACAGTCAGACAGGGTGAAGCAGGGGGGTTCACACCGTCAATTTCCAAAACCACACAAAACATAAAATCTTGTAAAATTGCACTCAGAGTCGGTGTGACCCCACCGTACTGCGCACAGTGTGAAGAGCTTGTGGGGTCTAAATGATCTCATCTCTTAAGACCACTGGAGAGTTAAAAGCTTTGAGCAGCACTGGACTTGTTTAAGATATGGTGGAAGGAGAGATTTTTTTTGCAGATTTATTTTTCCTTTAATACCTAAATGAGAGTAATACCTCATTTTAGATTTCTCTTGATCTTTTCCAATAATTAAAAGTTGAATTCCATATACAAAATGATTTTTTTTTTTAAATGGAGCAAAATTGTCCATAAAGATCCATGAAGATTACATGTGCTAAATCTTTGCAAGTAGATGTATTCTCATGCCCGTTCCTAGCCTTTATCTAAAGCATTTACATCATAATCAGATTATTCATTTTTTACCCACTCAATGTAAAATTGCTCATTGAGGAGAAAATGTGGTGACATGTGACATTTATTGGTCTATTGTATAGTCCAAAGTCAAGGTCAACTTACCTAATGCATACAGCCACATTTCCAACCTGTTCTTGATATATTTAAAATGAATACTGTGTTCTGTCAAAAATACATACATATACTCTTAGACCAGGTTACTCCAAAACAAGAAAGATGGTCTAACACAGCAGATAAGGTTTGATAATAATGATGGTCAACTCTTGCCAATCTTACACAACTCCAGAAAGGTTTCAGGCAAAAAGACCTGCATTGTGAATTCAATTGTGGTCCATTCATCCATATTTCATCTGTTTTCTTCCCCATATCAGCAGGGAAGTAAAACTGTCTAAAACATCTGTGTTGGACTACATGCGCAGCAGCTTGGTCAAACCACCAAAGTTGCTCTGCTGTCGCTTCCTCATGAATATTTCAGTCGATGTTTGACACGTAGGTTTCTTGAGAACCTGAGGCGAGCTTTGGGTCAGGTCTTTGTTGTACAAAAACAAACCAGAAACAAGGCTGACCCTAACTCACAGTTCCAGCATCAGTCTTTGACGGCAGAGTACTTAGTGTAAGGCTGAGCTAGCCGTAGCTTTGATGTCAGCAGTTGTTTTCAAGCCCAGAGGCTCCTCCTGATGGACACGTTTGCTACCTGTTGCCATCTATTTTGTTGGGAATTTTGCACTTTACCTGACCGAGCTGATGGCTAGCAGATTGTGTGTTTCCTCCAAGCTCCTCTGCTTTTCTCCAATATATATTTTTTTCCTATGTTGTTTTCAGCTCTGCATTTCAGTCGTCTCATTCTTTGGTTTTTGGTTTCTCTTACTTTGCTGTTTTTACTTTTATTTAATAATTAATCGGCCAACAGTTTGCAATAAAAACTCGCAGGTGAAACAAAACCCATAAAAACCTCTTTGTTGTCTATGCCAAGGGCAAAATGTTTTATTCAGACCGCACTGTGGGACTATCCAGATACATTTCATAGAATTGACTGTAGCATCTTTGCCTAAAGTTGGCAGTGATGGAGCTCTAAAAAATTTAAAACTCTCAGTCTCCTATTGAGAAGAAATTTCCCCCTCCACTCCCATGGCTTCAAACCTTTGAAGTCTAAAGCAACCGTTCCCTGAATGCATTTGTGTGTGACAATTTTTGCATATAAAGAGAAAAAGAGGAGGGGAGATAAGACATTTCGTCTGTGGGAATGGGTTATCGCGTTCTGGTCGTTATTCCCTGGAAATCCATTTATTAAGGGACCCAACTGGGACAATTTCTGTCCTCTTTACACCTTTTCCATACACGCCGTCAATAATTTAAGGCAAATAAGTGTGGTGGAAGTGTAGCTGCTTGGTTCAGGAGTTTGGTGAAAGTTTACTCCTGACTGTTCAGGAGAGTGAGTGCTGGTTAGACTTCAGACTTAAGATTTCTCTTTATTTTTAAGATCTCGTGTCACCAGAAGTCTTTATTCATCCGTAGATTGACAATAAGATTGCCACAGAGAGAAAGGGATGACATGCAGCATGCTGAGGTCAGGAATCGAATCACTGAGGACAGTAGAGGTGTGCTTGCTCTACCCGTGAGCCACACGACGGCCTTCGATTAAGATTTTCTTCTTGGCTTTTAAAAATACAGGGTTGTACATTAACAAACCTCCCAACTCATAACTATGTATGAAATGGTTGGTTACCTTCATTTTAGGAGATTAAAAATAAAATGATTATTTTTATTAAATGTGCCTTTTTTTACACAAAGACACATTACAAACACAAACTTCAGTTTATTTTGTTTGAATCGTATGTGATAAAGGGACACAATGGTGTTTAAATGTGAACTAGGAGGAGTACTAGATGTTTTTTCAGAGATGGATTTTTTGCAAATCAAATTTAGTTTAGTTTATTTAGATTAGGCTTTATATCTGAATAAAGGCTTTTATTGGTATTCTGGTTTTCTTTTTGAATTATGCTTTTATTTTATGTAACTTTACAATCAACTTTGATATTTTTGTGGAAACAAAAATATGTTCAAAGACTTATACTTTTTATTTGAGCACTTAATGTTTAAGTATCACTTACTTAGTTTCATGTGAATGATATCTAACTATTCTTTCTAAAATGTTCAATTTGGTTTCTGATTTGTGTCCATTCCATCAGATCAGTTTATCATGAAGAAAACATTTTAAGATCATTTTTGAACAAAACCAGTTTGAACAACTTTGAAACATTGTGCATATTAAATACAAAATATAACAATTTTACAAGACTATTTTTCAGATGTCTTGAAATGCGTAGTAATATGTGATAGTCGTCTCACAACAGATTTGAAACTTTGATCTGATGCAAGTTTTGTCAAATTTGCAGAGGCTTCGATTTGCGGTTTCTAGTGCAGCAAAGTGATTGATTTTAATCTTATCTTTCACAGCAACTTTCTTTTTAAAACGAAAAAGTAAAAAACAAGATGAATCATGATTCGAAACCGCTTTTGGGCTTACATGAAAGCAAGATGGTTCTTTAATACATGATCATGGATTTTCTTACAAATTTATATTCCATTTATGACAAATCTTCAAATATGTTCTTTTAAATGTGTAGTGGACCCATTTTGCTGCTTTTTGGAGTTTCTCTCGAATCGCAGACACATTCCAGAGTTGAAGCATGTGCTGCTTTCTTCCATACCAGCCGTCCCTCTCGTCCATTTGGTCTTTCTATAGGAACCGAAATCAGATTTTTTTTTGGGTGTGTCTCTTCAGCTCGGTTTCCGTTTTTATCGCATAACAAGTCACATTGTGACCTTGAATGGCTTAAAAATATGTAAATCTGACTTTGATCACATTTCTGTCTTTTAATCTTTTCATCCAGTGTCATCACTGACACTGAGGAGTGGCGGTACTTCAAAGCAATAACGAAAACCTCGACCCCGGTGGAGGAGAACATGTTTCACGTGGAAGAAGCAGCTCCTGGTCCCAGGGTTTATCTCCGGCCGAAAGAAAGTGTCCACATTCCCCTGAAGTACCAGAGCTTCCTGTGCAACCACACCATATCTGTCCAGGTGAAGTTCAGATCAGAGGGTGACTTTGAATGAACTGTTGTTGTGATCTCTCTTTCTTTTCCCTTCTTACACATTTGAAAAGATTTTATTTCTATTTTTTTTAATCGTAGGAAACAGACCATGTGACAAAACTCAAAGGAACTTCTGAACACTAGTTCTTTTTTTTGTTTGTTTGTTTTTTTAATACTGATTCAAGTCGATTAACATCTTTTGAAATATGTTGGCGGTGAGCTCATCAAATATGTGTCTCAGCTGTGAAGAAGCCATGCAAATAAAATGTGGAGTGAGGCTAAGACTTGAGGAAAATGTCACCGCACCTCAGTGTTCAGTAATCACAGCTGATCTCTTTAAAGGACGCTCTGGCTTTCTCATTTTATTTCTTGTCGCAAATTTGGTTCAAAACAAGTGTCACTTACATCAGATGTTGTTTAATCCTCTATGGATTGCTGGTGGCTTGAAGCACTTCGTTGTCTGTTGCTACTATTTACAGTTTTCTTCCGGGATTTGTAAATGTTGTATTTCCTGAGAATAAATTGGTGTTTATATGTGGATGCTCGGTTTTGATAACGGTGTGTGTTTTTATCGAATCCTTACAGGGACCAAGCTTTCTGCCTACAGGCAAAGGTTCCCAGATGGCCAAGAAGACGCTGTCCAACATTATTAATGCCAAAATTATCAAGGTACACAGTGTCCCGTTACGCCTTGTACAATATTCCATGGATCTTTAACGAGTTTTATCTCCAGCTGCAGATTTTTAGTTATCTTGGATGTGCTTGTGTTTTCTCCTTTGAAAAACCTTTTATCTGAAACCTTTAATGTGAAGATACGTCTGAGGCTTCATCTCTTACATAATGTCTTAATGGTTTAGATATTGGAAAAGTGGATGAAGACACCTAATCTCAAACTACTGAATAGATTTTTGGATCTGAAGCTTTTATCAGTTAACTTTAAGCTTCGTCATAAAGTTCAGTCTTGTATGCACAAAAACCCACAGACAACTCCCTGAGGAATGCCAGGATGGAATTTCTTACTTTCTCATATTTTACACACATATGTCACTAAAAAAGGAAGTGAAAACTATTAACTAGCCTTACAAGACAAAAGAGTAAGACTGCGGGATTAAAATAACTTCTCTTTATTAGCCTCTAATCTAATTATCTATTGTTCTTGTGTCCACATATGTGCACATCACATTTTGGGTCCTCTAGTCCACAAAGTTTTGCTCTATACAGGGCCTGGTGTCCACATATGAGGTTATTATAGTGCCACATAGTGGTAGTGGTAGGGTACAACACATTACATGTTAGAGCCAAGATGGCTGATTACACCTCAAAATTCATATGGCAGCTTTTCATCCAAACTTTGCTCTGGTAAAAACATTAATCAAATTTATGGCTGATTTTTGTTCAGATATATATTAAAGTGTTAAGCTAGTATCTGTGGAGATTCACCATCCTGCTAAACATGACGATGTCCACAAATGTGGGCAATGACAATTAGTTTTGTAGAAAATGTTTTTGTGTTATCATAAATATCAACAAAATGTGAGAATGAAATTATATTTTTTAACAGATTTAAAAGGGTCTTAAAAGGCGTCACATTTGAGTTGATGGAACCTGCAGAAATCCTGTAAACTATTCCATTATAGCTTTGATTGCTTTCTGTGTCTTTGTCCTGATCCAGGATTCATATGACAACGTCTGTCGTAGTGTTAACACCTGCCTTCGAGTCCCTGCTGAAGAAAAGCATGATACTACCACTGCCATGTTTCACAGTGGAGATGGGTGTTAAGGGTGTTTATTTTCTTCCACACGGAGTCTCTCCATGTTTGTCTTCAGTCTCATATTAACACAGCCACAGCTGTTTACAAGCTGTTGCAATGTTTCTGATGATCCAGTACAAACAGAGAATTGATCCATGTATTTACGGAGCTTTGATCTTTCACAAACAGCATCTTCAAATATCCTTATCAACATGCGTTACACCATGATCCTCCTGGTGTTCATCTGCAGTATTTTGATTTGATCACATTACACAGAGTTGATAAATATGTTCCAGTCTGCAAAGTATTTGTACATCACTCCCGCCTCAGTCCCTTCCTCCAGTTTTTGTATTTTCTGAGTCGGTCAGCACTGCAAGTCAGAGCAAGCAAACAAACAAAGAAAAAAAAAATCATGTCAACAGGTCAAAGAGGTCAGGTCTGGATCAAATCTGTATCCCGCTAAAACTGACAAGTCCCAACAGCAGAGCTGTCAGTATGCCAGCTCTGGCCCCGCTGTCAGTCAGCATACATCGGCAGATATAGGCCACAACTCCAGGTCAGCATGTCACCGCAAAGCTGATACTCTCACGGTTTGGACAGCTGCTCTGCGTTCAGCAAGCAAATTGTTTGAAGTTAGCTTCCAGGACTGGAAATGTTCAGCTATCAGACTGCTGCTGGGGATGCCTTTGTATTGTATCAAAGTAAAGATTGAAAGTGCTGCTTTAAGTTTTTTTTTTTTTTTAAACATCACTTTTCAAAATTTTAATGTTTTGAACATTGAATTAGAATACTGAATAATTTAAAAAGTATGTTTTACATGTTTCTGAGTACAGTACACAAAAAGCATGAACATAAGGAGAGGAGCTAAGGTACAGTTTAGGAAAAAAGCTCTTAACCTGTGTCAAGATCTCACATTGCAATTAGCTTTTTACAGCTGTCTTTCTCACCAGTGATGCAACTTTCAATAAGCAGCCTAAAAGCTTCTTAAGTGGAGTCCCAATTTGGGATCCATCAGCTCCTCTCAGAAGCTCCTTAGCCTTTGGTAAATTCACCTAATTGATGTTCTGAGAGGGAGAGAAGGTTATCAAAGGATCCCCCTTTTCAGATTGTTGTCTCCGCAGTTTGTAATTTAATTAGGAACTTGAGTAAAGGGAGAAGTCAAGTCGAGGCTTCAGACACCAAGAAAAATGTGCAAGAAAACCTCCAAGTCTAACTTAAACCTTAAATGGACTGCAAAAAGAAAACCCAGAAAGCTTTAACGGACTCTGGAGAGGTGTTGTGCTGACCTCCGTGGATGAGTCAAAGAATCAGAAACATTCCTGACACTGTTCAGGGTTGCTTTGGTATGAATTTTATTTGCCTCTTTAGTGCTGTGGGAAAGCACAACGCATCCCAGTTTCTTTTTTTTTTTTTTTTTTCTTCTTCTTCTTGTCTCTACCCAAATTTAACTTCAAACAATGTTGTATTTGTGGTACTCATTAGAAATAATGGATTGTGGAAAAAAGTATTAGCCGCCTTATAGATTTTTTTTTTCTTTCTCTAATGAAACAATTAAATGTTTTGGGTGTAGGTTTGTTTACTACTTTGTTTGGAAAAGCACTTTATTTATTGAGGCGTGAGATAAAATTCAGCTGATCAAGTTAAGTTAAACTTGCTTATAAAACTATATGTACGCTATATTGTGAATAATTACAACAATTCCAAACTTAAAAGTGCAATTTGTCTATCAAGTTGAAAACATGTTTGATAGAGAGGATTTGTTGATTCCTAACTGTTCCTGTTCTCGCTTTAGGAATCCAGTTTGAACCTTTGGATAGAAAGTCTAAGAACCCTGATACAAACAGTCTGTGATATAAAACAGACCATTTGTAATAATATAAGTGATTAAACTTTAGTAAATACACGTCCTGATTAATGCACATCCTGCTGGCTACTTTCTGCAGCAGTCTTCAAAGCATTCTCCAATGGTCATCAGAGATTTAAATAATTAGACACAACTAATTTGTATTTTGGTGGACATCGTTCTTAATATGTTATGGTAGCACATGTGGAGAGGCAGAGATTCTCAGCTTGTTGACTTTCTTAGGAAATGGTTGTGATATCTATAGTTTTTTTTATGCCAGTTAATAAAAATAAGAAATTAGAAGATAAATTTCTCTGAACATCTAAAGAGCCCCAGTTTGGTTAAGGATCTCATAATTAAACAAGCTGGTGAACCTAAAGCTGTTGTCTCTAATTCTTGTCCATTCCTCACCAAAGCATGCCACATACAAATTTTCTTTAACTTTATTCTATATTTATTGCACATGCTTTTTGATATTACTGGAGATAGATTTATTTAGAATTACCTCTCATTCTCTCTTCCACAGAGAACAGCCCTTCATTAGTCGTTTTTTGTAGAAAATTCAATTTGACTCCAAGCCTGCAGTGCATCCCACTGATATTTCACCTCTTCCCTCCACAGGTTACATTCAGAGCAGAAGACGGCAAGCCAGTGGCCATCTGCCAGGTGAATGTGGAGCCAACGCCCCACGTTGTGGACCAGACTTTCCGACTTTACCACCCTGAACTTTGTTTCCTTAAAAAGGCCATCCGCCTGCCGCCGTGGGAAGGCTCAACAGGTTGTTAGGCTTCTTTCAGCCTGTCATCGATCTTTCCCTAAGCCACAATGTTCCTTTGTGCTGCACTGAATATATATATATAATAGATCTACTGGAGATAAATGTGTTTTTTTTATTTCAGTCACAGAGGAATTTAATTAGCATTATAGCTGTACCTGGGGAACCGGGCAGGAGATGGAAATGAAAAGATTTGAAAAGTTTGTGACGATAATCTAATTACTGGGACGTGTTCTTTTAAATGCTGATTAAATGCACCATATAACTGTGGCCTTTTCTTGTAAGTATTAACATTTTCTTTGTTTTCCTTGTTTGTGTGTCAACTAGCCGAAGACCCAAATTCCTGCTCTCATATTTCGGTGCACTGCAGTGACCCCAATATCATCTGCCAGACGAGGATGCTGGTGAGACATCATTACTTTCCTGCATGTTTCTGTTCTGACCACAAGTAACCCACAGTAACCTTTGCACATTGCTACTCTACTGATTAAAGAGGCGGAAAGCATTTTCTTGCAATTCCCAAGGCATGAGTTTTTATCCATACTTCCACCGGGACATCATGCCATACTGGAGACACACGTCATTGCTTTCTTAGTCATTTTACGTCTCCAGTTTAACATTTTTCTTAATTGCTGTTCTTGTTTAGGTTCCTGGACAGCCTCAGGATGTGTACTTAAAAGTACCAGGGAGTCCCAGTCCACACATAAAGATGTTCTTTGTCATGGTTTTCACGTATGTATTGTTTGCTGCCCACGCAGATTGTATACGGTGAATACAGACACACATATATATATATATATATATATATATATATATATATATATATATATATATATATATATATATATATATATATATATATATATATATATATTTTTTATTTTTTTATATGTTTCTCTTTTACCTGTTCCTTTTTGCTCACTATGCTGTTTATTTATTAATATTCCCTTATCAACCTTTGAGTATTTCAGAAAACAGCTGACGTTAAATTATGAATATATGGATCCTGCTCCATTTTCACCACTTCAGAAATATGTGCTAGTTTGTTGGTTGCAACAGAAACATTTAAAGAAATATAAATAGTTAAAATCTGAACGCATCTTGATGCAACTGCAAGGCAGTCTAGGTGTCTTCCTGCTTTGCACCAGTTTCTGTATCTGAAGAGATGCCAGACTTAATTCTTACATTATTCATTAATCAACTGTGTATTTAATGTATTAAGCCTTAGTGATTTAAAGTAGCATAATTATTCAGAGATTCAATTCTTTTTCCCCAAAAAATGGTGGAACCAATGATGCAGACTGTAGATGCTATTTTTAAATGTAGATGCATCATTTTGTACAGGAGCTACCAGCAGTGTTCACAAACTTCCACTTTATTTCACTCTGTAAGAGAGGCTCAGCTGGTAAAGCAAGCTCGTGGCGAGGATCCCAGTATTTCCTTTCCTTGCGCAGAAGTGTCCTTGGGTAAGACACTGAAGCCCAAGTCGGTCCTAATGGCAGGTGCACACTTCTCATCCCAGCTTTCTCATCTGCCTCTGTGACTTTGTGAGAAAAAGAGGGAAAAGACTGCCAATAAGTATAAATCCCTTGAAACACTTTAAGCCACTACTTAAACTAAGTGCTTTTCATTTTCCATCAAAGCTATACATATAGGCTGAATGGAGAATGGCAGTATTTGCAATATATGTCATGTCTAAGACATCAAATATTAAACTTACTAGCCACTGCTTTCAGTAGTTAACATTGTGATGTGAGTTTGGAACAATTAAAAGAAAGTTTGACTGGAAAACCCCAAATGCTCTTCTGTGTGTGCATCTGTTCACCATCTGAAGATATCACTGTTACTGATGTTCCATGAGCTCTTGAAAACTCACACTGCCTTATTTCTATTGCAAATGTCCCCAAAGGCTCCCCAAGTGCTGTTGTCTCAGAGCAGAACTGAGTAGGTGACTCCATTGCCTCCCACTCTCACAGCCATCTAGGACTCCTGAGACTCTGTTCCCTTTATCTCAGCTCTGATTGGCGATGATGTTTGTGCTTATTAAAATGCTCACAGCGCTGTTGATCAGCTCTTATGATTTCCAACCTCCAGCTGCACCTGTCGCATCTCCGGGGGAGCCTTAATTGTTCTCGACTGTGTGTGTTTCTTGTTTTTCCTTCGTTGACAGTGATAAGTGGAAGGCAGCGCCCTCTCAGATCTGGCAGATGTACGTGCATTTTCTGGAGCGGGTGGACGTCAGATGCGTGACCGGCCAGAGAACCTGTCAATCACTGGTTCTGAGGGGAAAACAGGCTGTTCGCAAGATCAAATGTTTCTTGTCACACCCCAAAGAAATTGAGGTACACTGTTTTAATTTGTAAAGGAATAAAGTGAATTTTTTGTGTCTTGATTTCAGCTGATAATTACAAAACATATGGATGACTTGGCTTCTACAAGTAGGTGACTACATTGTATGAACTCAAACTAAGTTAAATTGACTATAAATTAATAAATTAGGAAAGTTGTAAATAGAGATTCTGATACTCAATTTTGTGTTTTGTTATGATTTAATACATTTAATGCATATTACAGATTCCTGCTCTCATATTTCGGTGAATTAAAAACTAAAAGTTTTTAATTCAATATTTAATGTAGTTCTTATCTTAGTGTTGCAACTACAGTAATTACAAAAAAAAATACATAATCACTGTCAGCGTTCAGTTGTATTATTATTTCCCATTTTAATAATTACATAATAGGCCTCAAAGTGGTAATTTTATGCTTGTATTAACGTCATATGAAAGAGCTGCTAAATCTGTATAAAGATAGCTGAAACTAGGGAGGCTGGTAAAAGCACAAAGGTCTTCAGAGCATTACTGCAGCGTAAAAAAGACTGGTGCTCTGAAATATTTAACTTTATTGATGTGTAAATGTTTGTAAAAAGGTCTGAAGAGCTGTAAAAGCTAGCAATAAACTCCCTCCACAACAAGCTTTTCTGCCATGAACAAACTTTAATTATTCATGAGGAAAGGTGTATTCGTGTTTGTACATGAAAGATTGAGAAAAGTTACACAACATGATTTCAATTCAGTAGTAGTTTCTTATTTTAGTCCAAGAAAGCCCTGAAATTTGACGGTGAAATGTTTCAAGCTGTTTTTAACAGCTCTTATTAGACAATAGCACCATTAGCATCTGTAGCACGCACATATTTTTTGAACTGCAAATGTTTCTGCCTTGTGTGAAAGTGTGTCAACATTCTCCTGACGCGTCCAGACCTTACACTCGGCAGACAGAAGTTAAACATTCAAAATAATAAAACTAAGCCACTTTCTTGTTGGGGTTTGCTTTTCTGTTGCTGTTTAACTGAGATTTCACATGAGTTATTCTTACTGTCACGCTTACAAAATAACATTTTCCACGATATAAATATTTTTAAATGGAATAAATAACAAAAAACTGTCTTGTATTTATTTTTGACTTTTAAATAACTCCAAATATTTAAAAACATATTGGGTAAAATATGTTTACATATTGGGTCCGGATCAACGACTTCAGCCTGATATCTGGTCCAAGAATGACAATATCTGTGTCTTATTTTATACAGATATTGGAGCAGATTGTCCCCATCTTGTGTATCATCAGGCTCTATTCAGTATCCAAATTTTCCATGAGTTTCCTAACCTTGATGTGTGTCACAGTCATGTTTTGTTGCCAATTGGCGATCTGGTGCATACATAATATCTCTCTCTCTGCTCCAGTGGATGGCAACAGCTCTATTATTGGGTGCTCATGTTGCTCCTGCCATTATTGGCTGCATCATCCAGTCTGGAGAAGGTTAGTTGCTCTGGCTTTGCCATGTGCCAATTACTTGTCGAATAGGTTTTGGTCCCTTTGGGTCTAATTTAGGAGTCATCTAATTAGCTTAGGATGTGACTTTTTGGACAAATTATCCAAAGCACATTCATTTAAAACCACTAGAAATAGAATTCTCCATTTTGGAGAATGATTTTGCTCTGTTCCCTGATATTTCTTTATACAAAATAAAGCAAGTGGTTTGGACTATTTGACATTAAATGACTAATAAAATGAAATGAACTAATTTGTCAGTATTTTGTACCTCACAACACAACTTTAACCCTAAAGTAGTTAGAACATAATATGCTCACTTGCTGAAGTTAATGTGCTCATTTCAGCATTTTTAATTGAAAATTGTGTAAGATAAGTAGCTGAATCTTACAGCTACTTATCTTACATCAGTGGAAATTATTTCACACAATGCATGTTGAAAAAGATGACAAGGAAGGATTAGTCTGCAGTTGCAATAATTCAATACGCCATCTTAAAAGGAAAGTAGATCATTTTTGAAGGGATCTGATGTTAGAAAGTTGTGAAGTTACAGACACCCGCAGTAAACAATTTTCATGGCATTTTTACTTGTAAAATGAGAATAGCTGCTCACTGAGGCTAAAGCTACAGCTTCTATAAAACTGCACATAATTCTGGGATATTTTACCCTTTTTATTGCATTTCCAAACTGTTAATGAAAGAGACAAAATGTGGATTTTTTTCATTTAAATTTTAATTCTGGGACTGCATTTACATATATAAACTGTGATTTGCAACAGTTTAACTTGGAGAACAAAGTGTTGTGTCCTTTGTGCCACCTACTCTCATAAAAGCTATTCTGTCGCTCTGCATGTTATCCAAAGAACATTTTGCACCCAAACACCACTGCACCAACATTTCAGTTATTATGAGTTCTTTGTGCTTAGATGCATTGCTCAAAAACATGAAAATGTCACAGGACCTCTAATTTCTGAATATCATTCCTCTTTATGTTTGCTGTCTGTGCCTCTGTGTTGATTGGGCATAGCCAGCTGAAACCATACATGTCAAATGAGAAGCTGCAAGCTTTTCTCCTGCCAGATTTCTGTTCAGAATGAGGGATTTTTTTTTTTCCAAGTGCAGATCCAAAAATGATTTTCTGCTAATTGTTCTTTGAGCAGCACAACGCAGCACGGAGCAGAGGAGGAACAGCGGTTTCCTTTGCAATAACCCCTCGGTTCAGATTCAAGTCATTATCAAGAATGAAGTGTGCACTGACAGCGTGTGTCATTTCAATTTAGGTTTGTCTGCATTTTGCACTGATGTCAGATAAAAAATAAAAAAAAAGACTTGGTTATCTGAATACATAGAAATGTGCTCTGTGCACAGCATATTGCCCTTTATTTTCAATAGATGTTTTCTTCTTCATATCTGATAGCTAGAGCAGCCAGACAGTGCTTCTCAGTCAGAGTTATTTCATAATACTCACCCATATTCAAAGAAGGGGATGATGGACTGTCACGGTTTTCCTGCGCGCTCACTGTACGACCCAAACATGTTTACCCTGTAGAAATAGGGTACCGTCTGAGAAAGTGACAGATGTATTTTTCAAAGAGTTCACCGTATGCATCAGTGGCAGCTTTGATCTGGCTCTCAGCAGGCTTGGCTCACTGTGGAATGCACTGAAGGAGTTTTACAAAACAGGATAAAGCTCAGCTTCAGAGAATAGCTTTGCTTTTCTCCAAGCAGATTGAAAAACAGCGGCACAGTAGAGCTCAATCTCACATCCTTGTGTATGGCACTTTTTCCTCCTCTGCTTTCTCTGGATTCATTGTCTGCTCCCTTCTTGTTACCTTTTTCGCCACATCTTACTTTTCTCTGGCCCACTCTCAGTTAACTGGGCACCTTTATTTCTCTCTGACTCTTTTAAACTCCCTGTCTTATTAACCCTGTCTCTTTCCACCCCTTCGTCTTTGTCCTGTCACACTCTTTCTGTCACTTGTTCAATGGCTCTGCTTACCTTCACTGTGTCGTCGCCGTTCTCATAACCTAATCACCGGCATCTCATCACCTTGCTGCCAGGTCCAATCAACCTCTCCCTCCTTCACCTCTCTTGCAGGTGGACCCGCCCGGTGTGTTTGTTTTGCCTCCGGCCGCCGTGCAGGAGCTCCAGCTAAGAGTTCAGCCATGGCAGGCTGGCAGCCGCTTCCTGTATGTGAACGCTGTGGACGTGGATCAGCAAAGGCTGGTCGCCGCCTGGCTCCTGTGTCTCAGTGTCCACCGTCCTGTACTGTCAAAGGTGAAAGGATCTTTCTCTGAAAAGAAATTCTGTGTCTAGATATATAATGTGGAGGACTGAAATTGTTCAGTCAAATGTGGCTGCTAATCATGAAAATGACAAGACATAAAGACTTGAAATATGTGTAATGGAGGGTTAGGTTAGGGTAAAGGTTGTAAAATGCGTGACTGTTTTTTTTTTTGTATTTTTTCAAAATATATATATATATATATATATATATATATATATATTTTTTTTTTTTAATGCCTGGCTGCTATACAGCAGGATGGATGGGCTTTTCCCCCAACTGCCCCTTATAGTTACAGTTTTAATATTATTCAAGATAGCATTTAAATTTTATGTAAAACGTTATAAGTTTGATTTGGTGAAAGGTTCAGGTATGCTGTATCAGTTTTCTTTCCTATTTTCTCAGATATTAAATTAATGCCAAAAAGTCATTTCCAGATTTTTTTCAACTCATGAACAATGTTGTGTCTTATGATTGTTGCTCTTTCTTTGTAATTTCAAATGGACATTTAGAAACTTAAACTATTTCTTGTGCAGTTCTAATTTTTCAATGGTTATTGATGTTTTTTTGTTGTTTTTTTTTTATCTCGCTTATGGTTAGTATAGCTAACCATACTTTGCAAAGCAAGTGCACAATAAATTGTTTGTGTGCGGGTGTGTGCAGGCATTCGAAGTGTCCGTCCCAGCTGGTAATGGGCGTGGCAGCTCCAGAAAAATCACTTACACCAACCCTTACACCAGCACACGGACATTCCTGCTCCGCTCCGACCATCCTGACCTGCTCCAGTTCAGAGAGGACAAGTTCCAGGTGAGATAAGGCAGGAGGCATTACAGTTCTCTCCGCTTCATTAAGACTCAAATCAATACTTTGATTAACGCCTTGACCAAAGCTTGTCAGGTGTCCTCCACAGATAGTTTCTCTAGATTAAAGGATTAATCTTGTTAACATGGTGTGAATAATTTCTGCGCTGTTGATGATCCATGACATGCATGCACAGAAAGTGAAACATCAATCCTTTTTCCCCACCAGACGTCAAGCCATTAAGTTTGGCGACAAACTCTTGATTGATATAAACTGTAAGAGAGGCACGTCTGAGCTGTAGAAGAGCTAAAAGTGATGGTTTATTGGAGCCTCAAGCTGGAATCACAACCTGCCTCTCGTTCAACACCGCTGATTGGATATTTTATCTATCTGCACAAAATTAATCTTGTTAAAACCTTGAGAAGGGTTTAACCAGCGTATTGATTATATACAAAAAAATTCTTTAAACATTCACTGCTAAATAAATAAAACAACAGCCCCCACACACCCTGGGAAAGATGTGTAAACAGCCTTAAAATAAATGAATCTTTGTTACAGAAGTGGTAATATTGCACTGGTAAAATAAGCAATCCGAGCTTCGATTTGAGTATATTGATTGAGTAAGGAGGGGGGAAATTCATTATAAAACCTAATAGTTTTTTCCAATTCTCCAGTGCCACACTTTCTTTTAATTTTCAGTATTTTATTTTTTCAAACGCACTTAATCTTCCCCTACCACATTTTTAGAAAGTTAAAGCCAACACATTGATGGATCTATGGCTTTTTGTATTTGCACAATTTTTTCAGAAAAGTCAATCCAGTGTCCTGGGTCCTTGAGAAGATGATGTCTCTCTTTCTTTAGGTTACCACAGATTTTTTTTTTTCAATAGGACTTAGATCTGATAACTGAGATGGCTTTTAACGAACGTTCATTTCATGTCGGATAAACCACTTTTAATTTTTTAGGGTACTTCTTTTGTCTTTAGAGGCAGAATAATAATCCTTTTTCTCGGTTTAAAGCAATACTTTTATTTGAAACATTGATGAGGTTTTCAGTTATCAAAAGTGCAGAATGCTCTTAGTATCACAAGATTATTTTTTATCTTTTGTTTTATCTAATGGTTGCTGTACATCCTGGGTAAAGGTATTAGATCATCGTTTGTTGCAGTTTTTACCAGTGAGCTCTTTTTTTTTTACCTCAATTAACATCCATCCCCTTTGGTCGTCTTGCAGTTTCAATTGATTCAAACTTTTAAAATATGTGGAGCCTTTTGGATTTCATTTCTTTCTACATGAAGATCATCTTACATCTGTACGACTTGAATGATATGTTGTGATGTCGTTTTCATTTTGTAGAAAGAAAAAGGCCCTGGCTGTTTCACATCAAAATATATTTTTAAATCCTCTGGTCCACTTCAAATGTTAAGTATAACATATTGAATGAATAGCAGTAGGGATGTCTAGTACTAGACACCTTTATTAGGTGACAAATTTGTTTTATTTAGCGAAAACATTTTTCCCAACTTAATCAGTGTACTCAAACTAAAGATTTTTTTAGTATGACTTTTATATAAAAAGAGTTAATTTATGTAATCAACATGTTTAAAAGGAATGCCATTAATTTCAAAGAGTCTTACAGATATGTACATATGTCTTTGGCAGTGAATAACATTGTGTTGATTTCAACACATTTGTTGTTTGGGCCTCAGCTGTGACAAGTGTTGTGCTTGTTTGTTTTCAGATCAGAAGGAGGGGAATATTACAAAGCAGCTCTTTACGTTGCTTTGTTGTCGTGTGGTCAGCTGCAGCATCTCCTGCTGATTTATTCCCTCATCGAAATGAAAAAACAAACAAAAAAAAACATTTAGGTTGCTGGCGTCATTTCCTTATCCTTTGCTTAGGTTTGACAAAATAGCAAAACAAGCGAGACAAACACAATATGTGAGACGCAATAGGAGCCAGTTTGCACATAAACATTGAAGGAGTCTTGCTGTGTTTGGCCCGAAGACGGAGCATCATTATAAATGAGGTGGGCAGATTGAAAAGCAGCCTCTGTTTTTCCCACCTTCCTGGTGAATCTCCAGGTATCTCATGAAGGATCTGCTGTCCCTGTTGCCTCAAGCAAGCCAGAAGGTTCTCTTTTCTGTTTTATATAACAGTTTCAGAGAAACTGTAAATAACATAAAGTTGCAAGGAAAGTAAATGCTTTGTAAATTTAACATTTTGATTATTTAACTTTTTTTTTCTGAGGTTATGTAAAAGAAAAACGTGTAAGGACTGATAGAAATACCGTGAGAATATAAACAAAAAGATTAAATCATGACCTTGTAGGCTTTGAGCCCCGACAACAAAAACATCAGCACTTCCTCCCTTTAATTAGTGAGAACAATGAAAATTGCAGGCTGTGTGGACAAAACTGGTAATTTACACAAAAAAGGTAAGGACGGCAGTGTCAGAAAGTCATAACAACAGAGGAGCGATACTACTTTGTCTCTCCTTTCAGACATTGTTCATAAAATGAAATGTGAAAACTGTTGGAAAAACCAGTTCAGTCGTTTTTTGTAATAGAAACTGCTAATTTATATAAAGCTGTCTGTACAGCATCAGGTCCCATTTAACACATTGTAAACCTTATCCTGGGCTTTTATATATAAGCAGATTTTTTTGTGATGGTGGTCTCAGTTCAGTATATAACATGCAGCCTGTAAATTCTGGCCAGTTTTTCCTTATTGGGCTCTCTGGGTCTTATTTGCTTCACAGCGTTGGTAAATTCACAGCCAAAGATTCATGGCATCGAGCTCAAAGCTTCTGTCATTATCGAACACAGATATACTGGAACAGACCTCTGTAATAATATAAACAGAGCAGTATGAAACCAATTGCAATGCCTCATTATAAAGAGAGAACTCACAAGTCAAACCAGTACGCTCATTTGCAAGCTTTTCCTTTGTTAAGGCAAGAAATCCCAGCAAACTATACATACATATTTCTGGTTTGAAGTTTACACTCTGTACATCCAGCATTAATATTGTTGTATAATTTAAGAAACTCAATTGAACAGGTTTTTTTTTTTCAATAATTGGGTTCACAAGTCTCAATTTGTTTGGCTTTTCTCTTCATGCTGTGTCAAAATTATACACCCTGTACAACCAGAACCTCCAAGTAATTTTTGTATAAATGTCCCAATCAGTTATTCCTTTTGCTTTTTGTGGACACCTTTTTTTTTGTCTTCCTCCTGATCCAAGTCATCTTGGTATTTTCAGATACGGAGTCCTAATCTGACAGTTAAACTTTAATAAAATCAATAAAATATGTTCGCACAAAGCCTCAGTAGCTTTAAGGTGCAGTAACATAACACCATGTCTCATCAGCGTTGCGTTCTACTCACCAGCGTCTATAAATGCTGCAGGTTCTCTACCTGTCCAGACAGTGACAGTCGTCTCAGCTGGTGTTTGTGGAGGATGACTTTAGTCATTAGTTTTTTTAAGAAAGCACCTATAACCTTCTCAGCGCACTTAATACATTTTTTATTTGTTTCTGAAGATCTATCATACAGTTCGGTTTTAGCCGAAGAACTTTTCTCATATGACTTGTTCATTATTTGAATTGCAACACATTTTAATTCAGTTCCAGTTAAGCGATTTGCAGTATCTTTGTAAAGGTGAAGTGAAATAAATCTTCACATCTGATGATTCAGATTGATTCAGGACATCTGTATTTTCAACATGTACTGAAACAGAATCAAACAGATGGATTTTTTTGGAAGCCATTACTTTTCAATTATGATTTTTCAATTATACTTTTCAATTATGATTTTTCACTTGCCAAAAACATGACATGTAAAATTAGAATATTAACCAATTAAAGTGCAATTTATATTACAGAAATGTGAGTTGATGAAAAATGATTTGTTATCTTGTACTTTTAATATGACAAATGAGCCGAATCTGCAATCATATTTTACTGAATATTATAGCATACAGACTTACGGTTCAATGATACAGAGCTTGTGTTGTTTGAAATGACAAAGGACGATACAGTGAAGGTGTTTGCTTTGTTCACTGTGTTCAGATTGGCGGTGGAGAGAGTTACACGATCGGATTGCGATTCGCTCCCACCCAGAGTTCGGGCTCGGCGGAGATCCTGGTTTACGTCAATAACTCGGAGGAGAAAACCGAGGAAACATTCTGCGTCAAAGTCAACTATTCTTGAGCATCGGCCTGAAAATGCTGCTTGTAGTTGAGTAATGTTTTATCCCTCGGTCTGGTTTTATAAAACATTTGTTGATTAATATTTTGTTGTTGTGTCATTTTGTACAATTGATTACTGCGGCTGTACTAATACCAAATGAAAAAAAATATAAAATTACAAGAATAAAATTATAATATTACAAAAGGAAACTCATACAAGTATAAAGTCAGAATATTATGAGAATAAAGTCGAAATAATACAAGAATAAAGTTGTACTAATATTAGAATATTTCTAACTTTTATTTAACATTTATTTCAACATTTTGACATTTCTTGTATTTTAACTTTATTCTTGTCATTTCATTTTAATTTTTTTTAGCATAGCCCCAGTTATTTGTTGCAGTTTTGCACTTTGTAAATAATACATTTAAACTTTTGACTCAATTTGTTTGTTTGTAACCCAACAAAAGATTAACCCTAGCATTAACCTAGATAGCACCATGCTCACAGTTTCCTGCAGCTGCTGAGGTTCGTTCCCTGTTGTGAGCCATCCACAGAAATGTCCAGCAAATGCTTGACAGTTCAAACCAGCCGAATGCAACAGCAGGGCGAAAGCAGTAACATTTCATTCCCTCTAATTACCCAGTGAGCCCACTTGAATGCCACTTGATGGTTGGGTTTTCATCCAAGACAAGCCGGCGGTTCGACCTTCACGTCTCCCCACTTTTTAAGCAACTTATTCTCATCACCGGTGTTATAAGAAACTCTGCCGTAATGAGGTATGATTTTATTTAGCAAGGCGCACATCTCCACACAGCGCCCTCATTAACACAAGCACCCTTTTAAGCCCTCCACGCTCTCCCGCTGCTTGCTGCTCTCCGTGTTTCCCTGTTTGAGGAGCTGGGAGACTGAGAAAGAGAAGGCCATGCATATTGTGTTATATAACTCAGAGTTACACAATTCCTCCTCCTCAACCGCTACCACCGCCCCCCACGCTCTCCCTCCCCTGCTCGCTTTCAGTCTCATTAGAATGCAGGCTGCAAAATAAGCCTCGGCACAGCAGCAGCAGCAGCAGCAGAGACAAATAAAACAAAGATAGTCACTAAGCCCGGTTCATCGTATGGATGATGCCTTGTCTTTAGATGTTTCGCATTGACGTGAAAATAGGCAGACAGTTTTATTTATACTTTTGAACTTTCCTGTTGCAGTGTTCACAATGTTCTGGCCAGTTGTGCTCATCTTCATGTAAAGTCTTAAAGCTTTATGTGAAGGCCTATGTGCCCCTGTTCACGACGGACATGACGTGAATCGTTTCTTGCATAACCCCGTTTCTGCTTCTCAACAACGATATGTGTAAATTAACTCAGCTTCCTTCAAGATACATGCAAAAAATAAATACGTTTTCTCTTAGTCCTGTTCTTGGGCAAATGAAATAAAACTCACAACCTCTAGAGGGTCGCATAGATGAAGCCTTCAACATAACAGCTGTGTCCTTAAATATTATTCTATCAGTGACATCAAAGCAGTTTTTATTAGTGTATTACCAAATTACATCAATGTACAAAGACGTTTAAAGACAATTACATTTTCAGAAGCATTTATCGAATGCAGACAGCTATTTGTTAATATTTTACTTTGGGGTTTTGTACCTTCTGACTCAACCAGCCGTTTGAGAACATTAATAATCCTGATATGGCTGAACATGGAAATGACTTGAATGTCTCATTAAATATCAGCATATGTCACATTTCAAAATCTCTTTGGCAGGTTTTGAAATGACGTACGTTTAACCAAAAGTATACAGCATCTCCAACACATTAAACGGTCATTTATTAAACATTCATCAAATGGAAAAAAAAAAAGTCTGAATAATTGAGTCCATCTTTGAGTACATTTTCTAAGCTGAGAGCCAGATGTTTTATCTCATTTTTACAGTTCAACTCTTGAGATTTTCAAAAGGCTATCATCTTCTCCAAACCCAGAATGTTCCAAAGCAAAGGTTGAAGGCTCTTAAACGGCGGTGCCCAAAGTCGGTCCTGGAGGGCCGTCATCCTGCATTTTTTAGTTCCCTCCCTCGTCAGCATGTCAGTGTTCTTGTTAGGTCTTCTAACGAGCCACCATTTGATCCAGGCGCATTAATGTAGAGCACAGGTGTTTACATATCACTACAGTGAAAATGGCATCCTCTGCGTTTAATTTTACTCAACAGCATCATCTGCCTCATAGAAGACAGGTGCGTGCAAGTCTGGCGAAATCGCTAAGTGGAAAAGGAATGTTTTGTTTTTTGTGTGTGTTTCTGTCAGTCTGAATACTGTTCATAACATCTGGATCACTGAAACCGAGGTTTTGTCTGACAAAGAACCGTCAAATTATCATATTGTAAGTCTTGTTCCACTGCTTCTGTGTACAGGAGATTTTCAGCTCCCCCTCTTCCCATCTCGGTTGAGTTGCCCACAGTACCTCTGATGAGGAATGTGATGTTGGTTTGTCCAGGCTCTGCCTTGTGTGAAGCTCTTGCCTGCTGTGGTTGAAATATGTGGACTTTGCAGCAGTCCTAAGTGGGAGCCGAACGGTTGTTCTCCCAGCGAGGGGCAGAGTTGGTCTGACACCTTATTAGCGGTGCCAGACCAGTTGTTGTCGGTTCCTCCTGAAGAAGCGCTGACATCCACCACAACAGCTCCCATCGTCCGCTCACCTTGTTAGGGCGGTTCGACGGGACCTGTCTAGCTGTCCGTCGGAGAGGCTGCTCTGATATTGATGTCGGGGGCTGATTAGAGGAAATCCACAGCTACACGTTGCAATCTGTGTTTACGATCATCTTTTTTGTATGCAGCGGTGCCCAACCGCAGTCTTGCGAGTGGGTACATGTCTCTGAAAGCACACAGCAACATCACAGTGTATCAAAGAGAAGAAGTATGCAACCTAGCAACCAGCCCTCCTCCTCGTGTGCAGTACGCCGCTGGTTTGGATTGTCAGCGCGGCTGAAAGGAGACTTTATTAATGCTGCTGGGGAACACTTGAAACCTGAAGGACACATCACAGCTTATAAGGAGTTCTGACATTTTTGTCACTGACAAGTTTGAAGGAACATTCACAGCTCCGATGAAGTGTGAGAAGGAGCTGTTAATAAACTGCAATTCATTTACCTTGTTACCCGTCTCAGCAGGATCCTCTCCATCAACCACAACTGATCTGGATGAGGCAGCGCCGCCGTTCCTGTCACTTTATTTAGCATCAAAATTGATCTCAGTGGATGGCAGCCTTACATACACACACGCGCACACAGGAGATTTGCATTTCTTATCTAACCATCTTTCCTCTGAGGCAGTAAAAAATTTAAAAGGGAGGAATTATTTCTATTCTGATATTATCACAACAGAGAAGTAAAAGCAATAATCTTCTTAGCTCTGTTCTGTCCTTCATTTTGCTTCCTCCACGAATACAAAGTTGTCCTTTTTTTTTACTTAAGTACAAAAAAAATTGTACAAAATGTTTTATTTTTGCTTTTTTTTTTCTTTTGTAGCACTTAAATGTCTCAGATTGTCAAATCAACATTTGATCTGAGTAAATACAAACTGCAAACGTTTTCATGTTTTTTTGTACTTATTAAAAAAAAACTGGTCTTGCTCCAGTTGAATTTTTTTTACTCCTATTAAATCATCCATTCACATGTGATTCACAACATATTTATTTCTGCCACAACCACAGAATAAAAAAAAAAATCACTTCAATGACGACATGAAATACACTAAGATATATATAACAACAAACACTTCGTTTCCTGATCTTAAGTATGTCCATAACTGAATAAAAAACAATTAACATTTATACCACAAGACCAAAATAACATTGAAATGTAGTTATTTAAACCATTAACTGTGTAGTTAAATACTAAATGCCACATTTTTCAGATGTGTAAGAATAATCTTTGAAATCCATTTATCCTTCACTATTCCTGACAATTATTCACGTGATAAAGGAAGGAGAGGTTTGAAGGATATCAGGAGTTTTTTAACTCCAATTATTGCCTTAAGCTTTACGTTCAACACAATTACCTATAAAGAAATCTGTTTGCATGTAACGACTATTAGTTTTACTTCTAACTTGGGTCTGTGAGAGTTAATTGCAGGTTTTATTTTATTATTATGAAAATAAATTCAGCATAATGCTGCTAAGATTACAGTTTTTTACTCCAGTTTCTTTGCCTTGTAGAGTTAAAATGAATCCTTGTTTCTTCTCCTTGATTCAACTTTTTGGCTCATTTATGAAATGCTTAAGGTATTTTTGCAAATCACAAAACCTAGTGGCTCTAAATATCCAGGTTTTACCACAAAATTACATAGCAATTTAAATGTTATATTTTTGAAATCAAATTCTTCCCCAGGAGGAAATGTGTGTGAATGTGTGTGTAGGGGCTACCAGAAACTGCACCTGATATAAAATAATGTTTGGATTATTGATTCACTCTGACCGCAGAGTTAGTGATAATTCATATTTTATACTAATGAAGTGAATAAAAAAAATGTCTGTTTTCACTTTCTACGCTTTGTGTGTTTGGTTTTAACATCTATAATCTTCATCACCTACAAAACGATGCTCAGATGAGTAACGGGGCACTTTAAGGGAACCCACTGAATTTGATCATGGATCCCAGATGAGGTATTTTAATCAGTTTCGTCTCTACTGCAGATACATTTTCAGAGCTAATACAGCAAAATCACTCAGTCAGCATGTCATGTTGTGGCCTTTTTTGTGGTTGCACTGCATTATTTCCTCCTGCTCTGATGTTTGGTCCCTCTAAGAAACCTCCTTCATTTATGTTTCATCTACGTCAAACAAATATCTGGCTTGGCTTTGATGTATCAAATAAAACTCTAACATCTGATGCACCAGTAAAACTGGCAGCTCATTGAGCCGGTTGAGGGTTTTCTGTAGCAGCAGGGCAAACGACACACTGATGATACAGACCAGTCATTCACAGCTGAGTACTCTACAACAACTGGGAGGGATTTACATTCCAGTACAATCGTGACACCCAGTACATCAGTGCCAGTCATACATACTGATGCTGGCACAGTGAGCAGCAAACTTTAAACACCATT